ATGATCTCTGCATTTTTTATACTTATTTATTTGCTTAAAATCTTGATGCAAGATTTCTCAGGTTAGCAGAGAATCAACTTGTCTGCAATTAAACAAAGATTTGACATGATCAGGAAAGAGAAGAGTGAATACTTCCCATACATACCCCAGTGTTTTTCCCACCTCTAAAGCTCAGTAATTAAAATATTGGAATTGGTGTCATTTGCATCCTGATTAGTGTGACAACAAAAGTATAGCCAAATTCCAAGCAGTTCAAAAATACAGAGCTAATGCCAGATTGATTTACAGGTCTGTAAATGAACAAATAATTTGTTGGAAGTTGTGTGTAATATAGTATTTGCTCATCATAACGTCCCAATTCCAGTCTCTCTTGTGAGAGAGCCTCTTTATATGACTGTAAATGATTATTTCCTTTTTAATGATAGGACTAGAGTGTGAGTGACAGCTTCTGCAGATAAGTATTCACTCTTAAATGCACTTGAGCTTTTGCTGAAACAGAAACTTGAATGTTCATATATTTCAGTTCACTTTCCTTTATCCTGCCTGCCCAGGACCTGTCTGTGTTTGAGGGGGTTGATTATTTTTGCTGCTGCAAATGCAGATAACCAGAACCATTTCTTGTGCAATTGCATACAGAAGTTGACTGGGAAATTATTTCATATAACCTGAATCATAAATTTTGAAGTATGTTCATGCTGTCCTGCTTATATGACACAGGGGGGAAAATCAATTTTTAATTCTAATCTGCCTATCTTTTTTCATTAGTTTTTAAAGATCACTTTGAAGAGCTACAGTCAAGGAGGTGTTTGAGTACAGGGACTATGGAAGGCCCTGAATGATAACATGACCTGCATTGGTATATAATTTTTCCAGATTGCCATGTTTCGAGTTTGTTAGCATTGTCTTCAATCCAAATTGTACCTTCCACAAGTTGTGTCTTTGGAATACTTTTTTTTATTTTGAATAGGGCTTTAAATGTTTGTTACTTCCTTAAGGAGCATTGTCAATCTAAACAATATTAAAACAAACGAACAAAAAAACGAAAACAAGCTACAGCTTTGCAGAACATAAGGAAAGAAGCTTACTTTTTTAATTTAGAGAGGAAGATACATGGCAGGAATTGGCTTGAGAGTTTTGTGGAGAATTTGGAACTCCTTTTAGCTATTTGAAATGGAGAATTCTTAAAATCATTCCATTAAAATTGGTGGAACTTCAAAGTTGTAGCTCTTTCCCGCAGCAGAACATTTTTAGCTGCTGACAGCTTTCTCTGATTTTATTGTTTCTTGTAGCTTATTTAGAGGTCTGTGTATTTGAAAGCATGAAAAGCAAAAATATCAACCCTTCACTTAAAGAAAATATTTCCTGTAAGATGCCATAGAAAGGTGGCCCTGACTTGTCATGTTAGGGCCACGTCCTGAAATGACATGTCAGATATGTGCTGGTGGCACCACAGGGCTTTTGGTGGAGCTGCAGATTCTGACCTGGAGCCTGCGACCTTTTGGGGACAGGTACAGGGCGTGGAAGTGTCTGTTGGCTCAGGTGTCACCTCACCAAGAGAAATACATAGTTCTGCTGGAAAATGTGACAGGACCTGCAGGAGGGCACAGGGCTGGGGGCAGTGGGTGGCAAAGGGGGGCCCTGCCCCACTGCTGGCAGCCATGGAGGTGAGACACGGCTGCCCTGGCTCTGTGCTGGTGTGGGGCAGTGACAGGGACGAGCCTCCTTCTGCTGGGCAGTGGGAGCAAGGCACTGTGTCCTCAGTCCTAATTCCACAGTGTTCATTTAAAAAAACCCAGGAAATGTATGCCAGACCAGCTGCATTTTCCCCAGCGTGAGGAGAGCTGCACTCAGCATTTTTCAGGCTCAAGGTCAAACGTTTCCCCTGCACAGGGCTGAGCAGGGCTGGCACGTGGCTGCAGTGCCCCAGTCAGTGGGTCCAGCACGGAGCCTGGCTCCAGCTGTGCCTGCTGCTGCCTGCGCTGGCAGCCGTGGGAGCAGGATGGATGGGGGGATGGCAGCCAGGAGGTGTACCTTGTCCTTTCCCCAGTCTCACACTTGCTTTGATATCTCGTTGTCACCTCATGCAGGTGAACGTGCAGGTATGATACTCTGCGTGGGGCGTTTGGTGGGGAACCAGCAATGCCAGCCAGGCTTTATTTAAATAATTGCAGTACACCCAGCGAGCAGGAGGGTCACAAGAACAGTTAACGTGTTGTGATGATGAAGTTGCCTCCCGAAATTCAGCTGTGTTCAGCTGTGTGTTTAAGGTACAGCCTGCATGGCTGCAGATCCTTTTCCAAGACCTTTGTGTCACCTCCTGGCAGCGGAGTCGTTTGTTAGCGCGCTCTGCATTCCTCATTGTGTGCGGGGTTATGAATGAGCCTGATCTGCATAAAGGCTGCTTGCCTCGCTGGGAGAGCCCGTCCCTGCCATAAATACAGCCGTGGGGTGCTGCAGGAGGAGCACTGCTGGTGAGAACAGGAGATGCAGCTGCCTGATGCTGCCAGAGTTGCTGAGGATCCTGGCCAGGCGTTCGGCCTCTTGATGGTGCAGTTGGACATGGTGGGGATGTTCTGTGGCTGCCCCAGCCCAGTGGGGCTGTGCTCCCCAGGGCCTCGGGCCAGGGCACAATCACAGCAGTGGGGAGAGGGAGCTTTCATTCCCAGGGTGCTGGTCAGACAATGTGCAGAAAGCTAGATAGGTGAATAATAAAGACCAGTGAAGATCTCTGTCCACTGTGTGATGATCACGGATGTTTGCCAATCGGTGCATCATGGAAACCCCAGCCTGTGTATGCTGTTGTACAGAAATACCAAACTCTACAATTTTGGGGATTTCACACTGCTCTCTTCCATTTTAGTGTTTGCACAGAGTATGTTTGACAGCTGCCTGCAAAGTGCTTTATTCAATAGAAGAGTGTTATTTTTATAGTGCAAGTATTAGAAGAACATTTATTTTTTGTTTCTGATTAAAGAATGTATAAGATCTGATGCTTTGAAGGTCCCTGACTTCTGTTACATTCTGAGGATGTGGTGATGGTGTGTGGTTGCAGGAGTGCAGAAGGGGTGTGCTGGCAGATCGCAGCAGATCGAGACATTGATTTTGGGTCTGTGATTTTGCTGGGACCTTCAAGGTGTTTGTGTAAAGGTTTGCAAAACTGAACTTTGCTTCTTTGTGTTCTTCTCTCTCAGTGGAGGTCACTGTTCCTCATAGCATGTCTGTGCCTTTTTATCAGCAGGAGAACTGGTTAGAATTCTGTAGGCTACAACTACTAAATATGGCATCAAATTTGGGGGTCTGAACTTTTTATTTGTTTGTTTTTTGAAGGGTATTAACTGTTCATAGAGAGTTTCCAGTTAGCATTAATATGTTGATAAATGAGCTTTAATGTACCTTTTTGAAAATTCTAAAGAGGAGGAAATAAAAATATGTTTGTATTAAACTTGTGTAGAATTTCCAGCACTTTCTCAGTGTTGATGTTTATGGGAGAGGCAGTTGCACATTACAGTTGGGAAGAAGCTTGGCTGATTTAGCACACAACTGTTAATGGCAGAAGTCGGGGTGCAGAGTATAAAGGTAAAACTCTCGCATCTGCTGTTACATGTTGTTAACTCCCTCAGCAGACATTAAATCATTTCAAGTACAATAATAGTGTGGGAGGTAAATTAACTAACCATTAACAATCTTATAAATACACAATTAACATGCCAACATTTATATGACACATTGATGGGGCAGCAGTAATTTTTGATTGGGAGTTTGCAGACCTTTCTGAAGCCTGAGGCTGTTGCTTATTTAAACAAGTTTTTGCCGATTGCAGATACATGTGGCCTTTCCTAATCAGTGAGTAGAAATAATTCAATTTAAAGAACATTCTCAACATGTATTTTGCCGTGTCCATAAGCTGTACTTGGGTGTGTCTGTGATTTTCAAGCCCCGCTGTGCTGGTCGCACTGGTGCAGGGTCAGAGCCCTGGGCACATCAGAGCTTTGGGTGGGACATTTGCCTTGTGGGCTCTGCCTTGGAGGACAGTGAGAGCTCCCTCAGGAGCAGCCCTGCTTGCTTTGATGGAAAGAGTCAGAAAATTAAAACAGAGTGTGGAGCTGCAGTGCTGCTGAGGCTGGCAGGAGCAAACTCTCAAACTCCCACCTCCAGGCAGGGCCAGCAAAGCTCCAGGCTGTGCCCAGCTGGGCTTTGAGGGTCTCCTGCTGGAGCGAATTTCACTAATAGCAGGATTTGTGGGGACATAAAAAGAGGACATGGCAAAATGCATTCACTGGTTCTGGAACAAGCCTGGCTGGTCCTTTCTGTCCCTTGCCTCTGTTAAAACACCCCAGAAGGCCAGCTACCTTTAGCAGATTTTCATGGGAAGCGGCTTTGTGTGATTTAGGCAGCAGTTATGCAAGCAGCAAGGACAGGAGATTGCTGGTGTTTCTGAGTTCAAAATCCCAAACACACACATGCAGCTCTGTAAAGTGTTTTCCTCTGGTTAGAAAAGCAGTGGGGATTTCAAACTTCTGGAATTTGCATCTAGTCTTGCCCTGTGTGTAGGCTCAGACCGAGCTCCCTCAGGTGGAGGTGTCCCCACAGCTCCTGCTGCTGCTCACTGATGGACTCACTGCATGAACAGGAATAATTTTTTTTTTTCTTTTTAGGTTATTTTCAGCAGATAATTTTTTGATCCAGCTCACCCCACAGCTCACTCCACAGCTCCACTGCCAGCTTTGAGAGATGGTGGAATTCCTGGAACAGGTCAGGCAGGGCATGGAGCTGTCCCTTTCAGAGTCAGCCCGTGCTTGAATTAGTTTGGCATCACTACAACCCCACAGCTACAGAAAAAACAGATAACAATGTGAGCGTGGTTCGGGTTTTGTGGTTTGGGGTTTTTTCCTTTTCCTTTTTGCCCTCTACTTTGCTTCAAAAGGCCACTTGAGTGCTCTGAATGAAATATCTTAGGTAAGTGGCAATTAGTGTTCTTAAAGTGCTTTAGAGCTCAGGCGTGTGGTATTTGGTCACAGAGCTTTCTGTGTTACAGCAGTTGCCCTGTGTGAAGCACCATGCAGCAGCAGATGTTCAATATTCTGCCCTGAGACACTAATCTCTTCATGTTTAAAGCTTTTCCTGGAAATGCAAAACCTGAAGAGAGTCTGTAATAAGTTACTCAAAAAGTTGGTGTGTAGATGCAGAAGCAAAACAGAAACACAATTATGATGGGTGAAAAGAAATCCAAAACCCTGTAGGTTTTGTACATGGATTAGTTGGAAGAGGCAGATGTTTCTGCTCTGGATTCTCTTGCCATCCTCCTGCGTGCAGCACTGCGGGGTGTTTTGGCTTACAGCAGCCATGTGTTGTAGAGTATTGGGACCTGTCTGTAGGGATTCTTGTGTTCCATTGTCCTGGGACTCAGGTTTCGAGCTGTCCTCCAAACCCCCTGTCCTTAAATGGATCTCAGCAACCAGTGTGGCACAAGTGAGCTGGAGCAGAATGCAAGAGTTTGCCCCAGGTCAGTCAGGGTCACATCCCAGACAGTGCCCTTGGGGAACGGGGCTTTGAGCTCTGTGTGTGTTCCTGAAATGTCGTGCGCGTTATTCCCAGGTGCGTGCGTGCAGGAAGCAGGATGGAGAGGAGATAGTACAGTGAGGCGCTGGCCCTGAGGCAGAATGGCTTTCCTGGACAACCCCACCATCATCCTGGCTCACATCCGGCAGTCGCACGTCACCAGCGACGACACGGGGATGTGCGAGATGGTCCTGATCGACCACGACGTGGACCTGGAGAAGTTCAACCCCTGCTCGGCGCTCGGGGACGGCGGCGCGGAGCCGCAGGGCAGCGCCGGCGAGGCCCAGGGCTACGTCTACTCCCAGTCCGTGGACATCACCTCCAGCTGGGACTTTGGCATCAGGAGGAGGTCCAACACAGGTGTGTGTTTGCAGCAGCTCTGCCCTTCAGCCTCCCTGAGCCTGCCTGGCTGGGCAGGCCAGCCTGACCAGCCTGCTCGGCCGTCTTTCAAACCCCTTCTGCAGTGCTGGGGCCCTTCTATAGAAGGATGTGTAATGAGTCAGTTATTTAGTGTGCTGTCAACTGAGCTTAATTGCTGTTTTACCTATTCCTGCATGGGGGAACATTGAGGTAGTCAGTTTTATATATATAAAAAAATTCAAATTGTGGAGACATCAAATCTAAATCCAAAGTACATGAACAGTCTTTGATATCTCTATTGTTACTGTCTGGAGGGGTGTTAACTTTTGAACAGGATAGTTATTTTCTGAGAAGAAATCTGCCTAGTGAGGCATCAAATGTATTTGTTATAAAAGAGAGAAATGAAGTTTGATGTGAGCCAGCAAAGGGAATGATTTGTCTGTATTTTGTCTCTTAAAGTTTTATTTCTGAGAAAAACCTTGAGCTAGTGTTTAAGGTACCAGATTAGTAAGTTTAAGGGCGAACACCTTTGCAAAATACACTCATTTTGTCGTGACTGAAAGCTCTGCCAGGTGGTATTTGGGATATCCAGACTTCTTCTTAGACCTGAGGAATATTATGATCAGAAGTTCTGTGAGGTAAAATACAGATGAGAAGGTTGGTGTGTGGTGGTCAGTACTGACCTCTATTTTCCTCTTTCTGTATAGTTTTTTAGAAATTATTTCTGCAGGTATTATAACACCACCTAGAGCCCAGAAAGCACCTCTGTGCTCTGCTTCTCCTGCAAAGTGTGTGTGGTGTTGGAGATACTGAAATGCCTTTTACAAGGAGGAGGTTGTGAGAGGTTCCAGAAATCCAGGGCACTGATCTCCTGTGGCAGAGTGAGGTTTGGAGATAAACTGGGATTGCAGCCCAGCCTGGCAGGAGGGTGTGTGCCAGGCTGCCCTGGGGTTGGGGGACTTCAGCCCGTGGTGCAGCTCATGAGGAAGGAGAGGCAAAGTTTGAAAATTTATAGAATTACTCCAGAAAACGATTCTGAAGGATCATTTCACCCAGGGAGCAAACTGATGGAATAATCCCCATTTGAATTACACTTTAAAGTCATTTCAGGTGCCAGCTGGGGGCATATTCTAAGGTCAGGGGAGAGGGCAGTGCCAGGGGCTGGGTGAGTAGCAGAGTGCCCAGGCCAGGAGCAAAGGCTCAGCTCGGGGCTGACAATTCATTAAACCTTTGGGCAGCCACCAAACTCTTGGTTTGTCACACCCAAAACTGTCCCTGGCTGCCTGTGACAGTGAGCCCTGAATAATTCACATTTCTCATAGGTGCTGGCCTTTCCATCTGCTTTGGCACTGCTGTAGCACAGTCCCACAGTGCAGTGGACATTTGTGACCAGCTCTAGGATGGAGACAGGGGAGCTGCTGCCTGTGCTCTTGGACATTTGTTTTGGCAGGGGGTAGAAATATCAAACAGGATAAAAATGTGTATTATCTTGTTTCTAGTCTATGGTTTTTCTTTAATTATTTGTTTACTTGCTCATCTAACAGATCTTTTATGATATTAAAATATTAAAATATTATTTATTTATATTTTCTGGTAGCTCATTTGGAAATAAAGGGTTTTAAAAGGCAATTTTGAGTTACAGTGTGGGCAATAACTAGTATTAATGAGGAGCTCTTCTTTCAGAATAAAACATCTATGCTACAATAGTGTCTTCCCAATATTTAAATTTATGAGAAGGGATATTTTTCTTATTTCATTAAGGGGAAGCTACCTAAAGGTATTCAGGTTCTAGCATCGTGTTGTTAATGGGAGATACTTATCAAAGTCCCCCTTTGTGCTTGTACCTTAAACTGCTTGCTACAGTTGTTAAACTTCAAATGAGTATTTTTTATCAGTTCCCTCATTGACAGTTTTTATGGGGAAAAAAATTACTTCCTTGTCCACAATTCTGTTCAAAGACCTAAATGTAAAAGAATAATAACAGAAGGGATAGAAAATATTTATTAATGTTTTTTTGATTGCTGAAAAGGCTCAGGGAACTCCAATTGTATCTAAAAATTGTCAGAGCAATTTAGCATCTTAGAATCCCTTCTACAAACCCATTTTAGTTAATGAATTATCTCAATACATCAAAACTGCTAATATGTCCAGCAGATTGTTTCCTTTGGGGATCAGCACTGTTAGTTCTGCTTCCCAGTCTCATCTGCCTGCTTTCAGCGGATGACATCAGTGGTTTCAGGGGTCATTGTCTTGGGTGGCTTCCATCAGGTTTTTTCCCCAAAGAAACTCTTACTGGTAGCAAAAAAGGTAATTTAAGTTGTTGTCTGGTAGCCCGGGCTGCAAGTCCTTTGGCATCAGAACTATTTGGGGCTTTTTTTCCCGACCATATTTTGAAGATGGAGTCAAAATATATGTAAAAAAATATTATATTCATTTTAGGATTTGACTAATGTTGTGAAGATACAAATCATTTATTTTACTACCTATAAACTGTTTCAGCCTACTGAAGAAAAAGCTGTGCTAATTTATATCGCTTTGACATTTTATAATTTTCATGATTTTTAGATAAAGGATTTTATATTTAAAACTTTAATAGTCTAGTCTGAGTTCATTTATCTTTAATTTTTGAAACGGGTAGAGTAATTCATAACAGTAATTTTATTCCTGTAATGTAATATTCACTTCAGTTCATTTGTGCATTAAAATTCCTTTAAGACCGTTATTAATGATTTATATAATGAAATGTCATATTAATCACAGAAGTTTTCACATTTTATTATTCTCTTCCATGTTAATACTATCTTTATGATCTCTATTAATGTTTTATATCCTCTAATTTCAATTATAAATCAAGAACATTTTCATGTTTTTGTTGGTATTTGCTTTTCAGGGGTGCCACCTTTAAAATTTTATGACTGTTTCCCCTACATGTGCAGTATAAAACATCTTTATTCATATAAAGGTAGTTAATTATGTCTTTGTTTATAGTAAACTTTCATTGACAAACTTATAGTTGTAATATTTCTTTTCAAGCTCAGAGACTAGAACGTCTGCGGAAAGAGAGACAAAATCAAATAAAATGCAAAAACGTTCAGTGGAAAGACAGAAATACTTCTTGCTCAGGTAAAGGAAAATCTCTTTTGTTTTCCTACTGGTTTTATTCCCGCCTCTGATGGTTCCGACATCTGCAGCGTGCAGTTTTCCCCCGGGGTTTTGGGGCACAGAGGAAATGCCAATTCTTTGTGCTGTGCCCCGTGCCAACCTGGCCTGGGCACCCACAGCAGAGCCAAGGAGAGGAGAAGTGCTGAGCACCCACTCTGGGCTGTGGGAGAGGGTCCTGCCCCGTGGGGTTCCTGTCACCTCGGGGCTCCCAGGGCAGCATCAGCATCTCCAGGGCACCTCCAGCAGCCTCTGGTGCCATGGAGCGTTCCATAGACTTTACTTGTACAGAGTATTTTTGTAGCTCCTCCTTTAGATAAGATGCAAATCTTAAGAAATAAAGAGTGTATGTATGACCTATTTAAATGCAAGCATAATAAATGCTGGCTTGGCCTATCTCGCCTTTCCTTGGTAAAACTATTAGCACTGATTTCTCAAAAAATACTAAATTCTAGTTTTGTTAATTATATAATTAAGTATTTGTGACTGGATGTTCTACATAGTTTAAACTGGAGTATATGAAATTACAAATCTGTCTCAATTTTCCTATTTTAGAGCTCAAGCTAGTTTCTATTTCTGTTGTATTTGACAGACATTCAAACCTTTGTATGGTCTGTCATGCCTCCTTCTTTCAAAATTTGTATATATCTTAATGAGGTCCGTCTGTAATCTCCCTTTTTTTGCCTAATTCCTCATATCTCCGTGGCTGTCTCTTGCAGAACGTTCTCCAGCACTCTAATATCTTTTTCAGAGGAGTGAACAAAGCTGCTCACACGAGCAGCACGGTCGCACTAATCCTTAATTCAGTGTTCAGCTGTGCTGGATACCCCTGTTAATGCATTCTGAAATGTTTTTGCCTTCCTCCTCCTGTAAGCAGAGTTGTAGGTTTTAAAGGTTAATCTACCATAACCTCCAACTCTTTGCTCAGTGTTTTATAGCATTTGGCCAGTGATGGTGCAGATCTCTCCTGTGCCTCCTGCACTCTGAGCTGGCTCCTGGGGGCTCCGTGGTCATATCCCCTTCCCCACCAGCTGTCCCAGCAGCCGCTTGTCCCCTCTGGGGAATGTGCTGGCATTGCAAATGCATCAGTCCCTGCCTGCTGCAGAGCAGATTTAAATAAAAAATAAACCAGTTACACCAAACTCCAGGCACTGGGGGCTATTGGCAGAGCTGGTTTTCCTCCTCTGCTTGGCCACTGAGATCAGAGTGCTTCTCCCTTACCTGCATGAACAGCAGGGCAGAAAGGAGAAGGAGGAGCCCGTCAGGATCTCCTCTGTACCTTTGCATCTTCCATTCCTTCATTTCAGAGCATGTAAAGTGCAAATTAAAATGTATCAAGGAAATCCTTCCAAAGTCCTGCTTTCAGCCCATGCTGGCATGCAAGACATACAGAATAGCTGTAGATAAAAACTTGATTTTTCACTTGTACAAGTAAAATCATTGTATTGGATTCCAGTGTCCTTTCCAAGTGCCCAAGAATTATCAGTTAAAGGTAATACTCCAGCATAATGCTTTAGATTAAAAAAAAAATCAGTTACAAGAGCTTGTTGAAAAACCAAAACAACCTAATGGAGTTAAAGTGGCCACATTGAAAGGGATTAAATCAAGCTTTTTTGGTTAATTGCAGCCTCTCACAAGCCCGCTGGGGATCTCTCAGTGCCAGTATTTAGCACCTCTGCCAACTGCCTGAATTTTAAGGCAATCTGCTGATAAAAATAAATGGAGCTTTTGACTAGTTATCATTTGACAGGTTTTAATTTTGCACTTCAAGAAATGAACCAGCTCCCTGCAGATCAAATGGCGGGTCATTCCCTTTTGGGAACAGTTCCATTTCCCTGGGGAAGCAAGATGTGGATCTGTGAGCTGTGGGGCAGCCCAGGGCAGGAGTGCCAGGCTGGGCAGATTGATGGGGGCTGGGGGCTCTGGTTCCTGGAGCAGCTGTGGAACCTTGTCCAGCTTCAGTCACAGCTCCTGCAGGTGAGAGCCCTTGGTGCTGATGTGCTCAAACACCCCAGCTCTGGCCTGATTTCACAGTGGCCTTGTAACATAAGAAGTTCTATTTTTTAGGGTTTTTTAAAGTATGCCCGTAAATTGGAAATTGAGCTGTTGCTGGACATTCAGCTGTGCACTTTCTTCACATAAAAAGGCTTTTATGAGCCTTCACAGACCACACAAAGACCTCCTGAACTTGCATCCCCTTTGTCTTTAGGAAGCTTTTTTGTATTTATTGTTCGGACAGTTGGTCTGGAATGGTGGTTTCAGGTTGGACATTTTTGTGAGGTGAGGCTGTATGCAGTCCCCCATGAGAAGGAAAACGTGAAGAGCTGCTCCTGTGCCAGGGCTGCAGCTGGCAGTGCCACTGCAGGCAGTGCTGCTGTCCTGTGCTGTTCTCGTGCTGCTCCTGTGGCTGCAGCTCCTCTCCTTCCCGTTCCCTGCTCCTGTGGGACAGGGCAGGCAAGCAGAGAGACTGGGAATGTGTCATCCTCTTCATTGTTCTCCTGACTCCAGTGGGTCTTACACTGATCACTTCTCTTCTCTGTATAGGAAAAACTCACCTTTTTCTCAGCTTAAACAGGAGCATCCTTCAGACTTCTTAATGGTTTCATGTCTTTGGGCTATGAAAGAGTGGTGGCAGATCCTGCCCTGCTGAAGCATTTGTTGGTTTATTTATTTGATTTTGTGCTCTCTCTTATGATGTTATCTCTCTGTGGTGAGCAGCAGCCTCTGTACATCTCCTCATACGATGCCTGTAATCTCTTTTCTGACCTGCAGCAGAGGAGCTGAGCTCACTGTTTGAAAAGAAGAATTTTCGGGTGAAATCCCCGTGTTCTGGGAAGCAGTCCATCCTCTCAGTGCGACTGGAGCAGTGTCCACTGCAGCTCAACAACCCCTTCAACGAGTACTCCAAGTTTGATGGCAAGGTGAGTACCAGGGCTTTGTGAGGGGCCAGGGGAGCCCTGGCAGGGCCAGGCTCTGCTCCTGTGCTTTGGCTTCTGCAGGCTCCACTGGCCTTCATGGTGGCCTTCAGGTGTGGCAGTGCTTGTCTAGGAACAGCAGGTGTGGTGGTTCCAGGTTCAGTAGAACCATTTCTCCTGTTTCCATTACAAAATTCTGGACTGAGAAGGAGATTTCTCTGCCTTGCTGTTTCCTCCTGCAGCAGGTCAGTGAAGTGCTGTGAGAGTCCTGGCACGCCTCTCTGGAGGTGATGATGAGACCTTTGTATAAATGATTGATTATTTGGCATTAAAAAAACAACCCAAAACTGTTCTGCCTGTCCACACCACAGCACTCCCTGAATATTCCCTGACTCTTGTCTTTGTCCTCTGTGCTCTACTGAGATTGGGAGGAGCCATGCTCTGTGTTGAGGGTGGGAAGCTGCAGTGTCAGGGGGTGGTGTCCAAGGCCAAAAGTAGCACTAATCAATGTATTTCTGCTGATTTGTGTAACACAGGGAGCAGCCTGGCTGCAAACCTGGCAGGTCATAGGAGCCAGGACATGGATCTGACATTGCTCAGACTGGGGAATAAATGTCTTCCCTGCACTCCACATTGTCAGATATTTTTCTCTGCCATCAACTCTAGAAACTGAAATATAAACTTTGATGTGATGGATCGTTGTCATATTGTTCCAAAACAAGTATAAATACTCCTCATATTTGTTTTCTACTGGATTTGTTTGTGGAATCTCCTGTGGGAGGATGGAGTTTGAGCTTCATTACCATTGTGATGGAAGAATTTCATATTCTGTTAGGTGTTCTTTGAGTGGAAAGTCAGATCCATAATTCCACTGACATTTCTAGGAGTATCTGGGATATTTGTGAAATGGTAACCTTTGGACTATGAAGTTCACATGCAAAAGCTCCTCTATTGTGATTTTATGTTTATTAGCATGTGGCAATTAGTGCTAACTCAGGTTTTCAGGATTCCTGGCCTAATTAATGAGCGACAGCAGCACTTTCATGCTGACAGCACCAAGAGGCTTTTTTCTAAACTCTGGGTTTGTTGTTCTTGTGCCCCGAAATTTCAGTTGGGCAAACCTTAAATGAGCTCTCATGTCATGTATAGGGGAAGTAAAAATCAAATACGTCTTTATTAACAGAATTCTGTTATAATTCAGTCAGAAACTTGAGATACTTCAGCATTTTTCCTTCCCTCTCTGATAATCCAAGCTAATCTTTACTGTATTAATTGTAGTTGTCTATAATGCACATCTTAATTTTCACCTATTGAAGTCAGATACCTTTAGCAGGTGTTTGGCCCACTGGAAGCAAGTTGCACTCTGCCTGTCAGTTTGAGAGGAATTTGGATTTATATTGAGAGGTATTAAGGAAATACCTCAGTGTCACTCAGTTGTGATTTGCAGGGCCTGATACGAATTATCTCAGTTGTGATCTGCAAATCAAAATACCTTCTTTACAACCCAAAATAATTGAATGTGCATTTTGTTAGAATATAATCTCACTCTATTAATTTTAACACCATTGTTTCTGTTACTCTGTTAGTGTATCAATAGTTTGCATATAAAGTTTATTCTCTATGGCTCTGTATATATTATCTAGTTTAATGCTTGGCTGACCATCTGAGGTATAGAAGAAACATAACTCCAGTTGTGAGGTATTTTACTTCAGTTCTCATGTATTTTCAGTCAGTAAAAACACCAAAAAACATCCAGCTTTTAAAAATTATTTTTAATGACATCTCATATGTCTCGTATTTATTTTTATCGATAATAGATGAGCAGTATTGCACAGAAATATAATTCTTTCAGGGAATAGTGCATGACTTATTTACATAATTAACAGAGCCTTGTATCTCTGGGGGAAATGGTACATAATTGGGGAGAGGCGGGGGGGCGAGGAGGGGCTGGGGGCCTAATTAAACATGTCTTAAAAACACCCTACTTAATTATGTACTTACTCAGCGGGGTCACAGTGGCTCTCAAATCTTTGAGGCTGTACCCAGCCTTTGGTTTGTCCCTGCTGGAGTTTGGTAGGGCAGGTTTCAGGTTGCTCAGTAACTCTCACTCCTGGTGCTGGGGCGAAGCAGCAGAGCTCAGAGCTGTGAGAGGGGCCCTGTGCCCTGGCTGTGCTCCTCTCTGGCTGCTCTCACCCTCACTGGGTCCCTGGCTGGGCTCCCATCAGTCATCCTGGGCTCCCATCAGTCCTCCTGAGATCCATCCTTCCCTCCTGAGATCCCATCCCTCCTGAGCTCCCATCCCTCCTGAGATCCCAACCATCCCTCCTGAGCTCCCATCAGTCATCCTGAGCTTCCACCCCTCCTCCTGAGCTCCCATCCCTCCTCCTGAGCTCCCATCCCTCCTCCTGAGCTCCCATCAGTCCTCCTGAGATCCCAGTCATCCCTCCTGATCTCCCATCCCTCCTCCTGAGCTCCCATCCCTGCTCCTGATCTCCCATCCCTCCTCCTGATCTCCCATGCCCCCTGATCTCTCATCCCCCCCTGATCTCTCATCCCTCCTGATCTGTCATCCCCCCTGATCTCTCATCCCCCCTGATCTCTCATCCCTCCTGATCTCCATCCCCCTGATCTCCCCTCTCCCCTGCCCGTTGCCAGCCCAGCACTGGCTCACAGCTGCCCTGAGCACGGTGCCAGCCCGCCGTGGGCACCGCTCACCCTCGCAGGAGTCTCTGCCAGATTTAGTGCCTCTTCCATAACCACTTCTGCCATTTTATGAAATAGTAAAATTTTAAAGCACTCTAATTTCTTCCTGTGCTGATCACTTCATTAATTACCAAAGCAGTAGAGAATATGGCTTGTGAATTATAACTGAGTGGAGGCATTCAAAGCTGTTCAGGGATAACACAACTTTGCCCCACCACTACCCAGGAGAGATCTGTGGTTTTCTGTACATTGTAAAACTTTATCTCTTAACAGAAGCCACACATACAATAACTACTCTCAATGCTTTCTTCAAGTTTTTCCCTAAACAGTTAAAGTAAACCTCAGCTCTGGACCTGTTTTCATGTTTTGCAAAGCACACGGGTTGTACTTCTTGGTTAATAAATCTCATATACTCTTTCTAAGAATTTTGTACTGGAAGAACCTTTGGTCCTTTGTAATTTCTTCAGGTGTGATTGGAATAGAAAATTACTTGGAGGCTTAAGAAATCACCGGCCAAATTGATTTATTTTGTCTGTATGCAAATTAAACTATCACCCATCTGATAAAAAAATTTGTGTATACTTCTGTCTACAGGACTTGAAAAGTCAAGTTTTAACCGTTTATTGTTCCAACCTGCTGAGTTTTAATAATGTTGGGCAAAAAAGCCTGGGTGTAAGGCAGAGCTGAAAGTGCTGTGCAGGTGGCACAGGTGGCACACAGGAGCCTGGTGATGGCTCAGCTGAGGTTCAGTGCTCAGGCAGGACAGAGGCGCAGAGAGATCAGAAATGCAAGGAAGGAATTGTCTGCCTCTAGAGTGAGCTGGGGTTACGAGGCCAAAAGCCTTTCCTACAGGCAGACCAAATGTTCACAAGATATTTTTATTTCTGCTTTCATGACTAGCTGCAAACGGAGTTAGAAGGAAGTTTGGCTTTCCTGATCTTGTGGAGTTCTCTGGTGTTTGCTTGAGTGCTGGAGATAATTTAATTGAAAACTGGTCAGTGCAACTTTTGGGTGGACAAATGCTAAAAACCCTTTGGTGAGGAATGATGCCCCTGTAGTGCCACAAGGTTTCTTGTGGCTAATTTTGGTAATGGGTTAAAAAGCAACAATTTCTCATGTAGCAACTGTTTTAAAAATGATGCTGTAGCAAGCATGGGGGAAGGGATAATTCATGAGTGCTAATTGCTTGGCTGTTAATTTTCATAAGTGTTGATAGAAGCAGTTCCTTAAATTAAACTTTGTTTAAAATGTATCAGGGGAAATATTCCACAATGTCGGGCCCGAAGTGAAAATTAATATGAATGCTGTGGCAATTAACACGTACTGGTTAATAGCTTTTAGCAGCATTTTGGGATGATAGTCCTTAAATACATTTTTGCATGCTGCTCTTGTTTCAGTCTTGTTTGACTGTATGCCTGCATAATCACGAACAAATGTTTTCCACAATCCCCGGTATTAAATAGCTTTACTTAAAGAAACTAGATAAAGAACTTAAGAAAGAAGCAATACTGCTTTAATTAAAATGGAAAATGTGTAAAATAATTAATCCAGGATTATGATCTCTGTGTGGAAAAAACTGCATTTTTTTATTTCAGTGTTTTGCCCCTAAGCTGAGTGGAAGGATTCTCATTTTAATCCAACAAAATAAGTTTGCAGAGGGGTTCTTTGTAAAGCATTTGCTTGTTCTGCCAGTTGCAGTGGTTTACTGCACGCTGCTCCCTGAGCTGGAGAATTGGTGCTGGGACAGTCCTGCAGTGGCTGTGCTGGGGTTCACTGGTGCTGCTGCACGTGCTCAGTGTCCCTCTCTGTGTGGTCATATATATTATGATATTTATTATTATAAATAATAAATATTGTATAATAATAAATGTTATTCCAGGAAGAGTATGGGATACTCTGTTCACAGTGGTTATCTTCCTGCCACTTCCATATTTCCATAGGAATTCCAAAATTTGCAGCTCAGAAAGGGATTATACCTTTCTGTGCTGAAAATGATATTTTAAATGCCAGAACCATAACTGTATGGGATAACACTTTTCAGGAATCGTGCTCGGTTTTACTGAGGTGTGAAAATATTTTAAAGAGCTTTTTAAAATTCCACTTTATGAGAGGCTCTAGGTGCCTTTGGCTTCCTTACTGGGAAAAATAATGAATAGGTGCTATTAAAGGTCACTGCTGGTCCTGTAAAGGCCACCACAATATTTTTACTCAAAATGTAGAATAGTAAATACAACTACTTAATGGTTAAACCTTGTCAACATTAAGGTGAAAATCACTGGGAAATTGTTCAAAAACCTCTCAGC